CTAGTAAAAGAAGGAGGTCTATAAATACATCCAAAGGCATATTTTTTACCTTTGTCCTTAACTGCAACCCATACCTGCTCACAGTGCAAATCAGCTCTTACGTAAATTCCTACCCCACCACCACGACCATCCCTATCCCTTCTAAAGAAAGTATAGCCATTCATGTTAAGAGCATTATCAAGAACAGCTCCGCTCAACCACGTCTCAGATAAACAAAATATGTCAAAATTATATTTACGCAACAAATAGTCAATATCATTTAGTTTAGGCAATAAAGATCTTACATTTAAATGAGCAACAGACAACCCCACCGATCCCATAAACAAGTGAACCAACCAAGAATAACACAGCAAATTCAACCCAACAATAACAAAATGAAACAATTAAGTGTATTATAAAGTAAGCGTTTAAAAAAAATAAGTGTTAGAAAAAAAAAATAAACCTTCATTACGCATGTGTCTCATCCTCCTTTTTAGGGATATCTTCTAATCTTCTTATTTCTAAGTATCTTCCACCCCACTTGGTATAAATGTTACAGTTAGATGTCCACACCGCTCTCGGCCCCAACTTTCCAGCAGCTGTTTTTAATAATTGCGCCTTTCGTGCGGTTAAATCTTCTTTTATAACTATTTGGGTTCCCTTTAGTTTCTTCTTGAAGTTGAATATTTGTTTCTTAACGTCCCGTCTAGTGAACCGCACAATGATCGGTTTTATACCATTTTCAGGGGCACGAAGCCTATGAGAAGTACTGATGTCCGATGACTGAATGTTTATACCCATTTTTTCGCGGCACACATTCATAATTAATTCATTCGTATTTTCACCCTTCAGTTCCTTAATTCCGTATACACGAAGATTGTCCTTCCTGGTGTACTGTTCTAACTCATCAATTTTCCGGTTGGCCACGACCAGCTGTGTTTTGAGATCGATAACCTCTTTTCCCATATTGTTGAGGTCGTTTTGAAGTAGTTTGACCACATTTTCGCTAATAATGTTCGCGAACTTATGTAAAAATTCTTCAGACGTTATCATTTTATTAAAGATCTTCTCGACTATACTGTCTTCGTCGACTGTTACCTTGTTTCTTAAATTGTATTCACTAGAACCGTACTTTATTAAGTTTTTTTTTAAAAATTTATCACGGAGGAGAGAACACTATGAGCGACTAACCGGTTCAACTGCACATAACAGAATCTAGACAATCTGATTGGGAAGTAAAAAAATTGGCTATGTTGGTATAAAAAAGTTGTTAAAAAGAAATAAAAAAGCTAATTTTGACGACTTTTTAAAGTACTTCAAACATAATAGGAAATAGCAAACACACATTGGTGAGTGTCAAAATGTTATCTATCGACAAGAAACATCATGAAGTTGTCTAACAACAACAAGACAAACTAATGACATTGATTTCCAGAAAATGCAAAGGTTTTAGAATGTGGAAAAAACTGATTTCAAAGACACACAAGTTTGTAATAATTATATTTTGGGCAATCGTTTATTTAACTGCATACTTAACAAAATTTATAACTAAAATGTACTTGTACCTGATTACAAATCCCATTTAAAAAATTTCATTTGAGCCATATTCATCTCTTTCAAATAAATACATCTGTAAGAAATCGCTGTGGTTCAATCCAGTAAATTGCGGTGAAAAATTATAAATTAAAGCTCCCATTTCGCTCTCCCAATCGGGATAAGAATGATTATTTCTTTTACTTTCCTCAACAAAAAAATTCGCGAAATATTGAGACATTTTTATGGCTTCCGAGCTATGAGGCACATTATTCCCAATTTTAAACTCGAAATTATTCTTTTCCGGGTGAAATTGTACCCCGTAAAAAGGATACTTTTTCGATTCAAAACTCGAAATAAATTTAAATCCATTTGAATCTTCATTTGTGGATAAAACAATAAAATCGTCCATTTTATTAAGTTTAAACGACTCCTCGGTGTAACATCGCTCGTGGTTGTTATAAGTAACGTTTTTGAGCTTTAAAATAGTTACGATTTCATCGGGAGCTCGGGAAAAGATCTTGCTCGATTTGAAATTGGCGGTAAAATGAAGTGGTTGGGCTATTTTCTTTGCTGAACACTTCGAGAGGAAGTCTTTTCCTTTTGAGGCGACGTAAGGAAGCAATTCCATTCCTAAGCACGTTCCCCAAATGGGGTAATAATCTCCTTTATTGTTCAATTCGATGGCTAAGTCGTAAATGATTTGTCCGGCGGAGGTGTAACCGTCGGTTGAGCTAAAAGTAACGGCTCCACCGGGTAATAAAATTCTTTAAAAATTAATTAATTAGAATTAGGAGAAAAGGTGTGAAAAGATTTTCTTTTTCTTACCCGTTTGTGTATTTAATGACTTTTTCGTAGTAACTAAGAGGTTTTTCGATGCTAAAAGGGTTTTCTTTAATTAATTTGAGCAAGATTTAAAATGTTAACTTACAAAACAGGAACAACTCTTGCCCCGGCACTTTCTAAATATTTCACATAACTAGCTGCTATGTAACTGTGATATTTTGGATCTAATTTTTGGTTGTAATAAATTCCTTGCGATAAGACTCCTATGATAGGAGTATCTCCTGCTAACAAACCACAACAGGAAAACGTTAATAATAACAACACTTCCAACTGGAGGTTAGTCATGTTTAAACAACGCATTACAACTGATAAATTGTAAATATACGACTCATTTTATACTAAACTTATTAAATATAGCATGTTATACAGCGTGTTTCTTTTTAATTTAAAATAAAATGTGAAATTTAAAGATTTGAAAAAATCATTTTCAAACTATTAAATAGTAAATAAATTTGCTTCAAATTGCTTTTTATTTCATAACGATATCTCAATTAGTTTTTGAGATACACAAAGATTAATTATCATGTCATTTATGTTTAAGATTATGTAAGGTTGCGTTCAAAAAATCATATCTTTGAAATTTCAAGATTCAAAGAAATGATGTTTAAAATATTAAATACTGAATAAATTTGCTTCAAATTGCTTTTTATTTCATAACGATATCTCAATTAGTTTTTGAGATACACAAAGAATAATTATCATGTCATTTATGTTTAAGATTATGCAAGGTTGCGTTCAAAAAATCATATTTCCGAAATTTGCAGATTCAAAGAAATGATCTTTAAACTATTAAATACTGAATAAATTTGCTTCAAATTGCTTTTTATTTCATAACTATATCTCAATTAGTTTTTGAGATATACAAAGATTAATTATCTTGACATTTATATTTAAGATTATGAAAGGTTGCGTTCAAAAAATCATATCTCCGAAATTTACTCATTCAAAAAAATGATCTTCAAACTATTAAATACTAAATAAATTTGCTTCAAATTGGTTGTTATTTCATAACGATATCTCAATTAGTTTTTGAGATACACAAAGATTAATTATCATGTCATTTATGTTTAAGATTATGCAAGGTTGCGTTCAAAAAATCATATCTCCGAAATTTGCATATTCAAAGAAATGATCTTCAATCTATTAAATACTGAATAAATTTGCTTTAAATTGCTTTTTATTTCATAACTATATCTCAATTAGTTTTTAAGACATACAAAGATTAATTATCTTGTCATTTATGTTTAAGATTATGCAAGGTTGCGTTCAAAAAATCATATTTCCTAAATTTGAATATTCCATGAAATGATCTTCAAACTATTAAATACTAAATAAATTTGCTTCGAATTGCTTTTTATTACATAGCGATATCTCAATTGGTTTTTGAGATACACAAAGATTAATTATCTTGTCATTTATGTTTAAGATTATGCAAGGTTGCGTTCAAAAAATCGTAACTCCGAAATTTGAAGATTCAAAGAAATGATCTTCAAATTACTAAATACTGAATAAATTTGCTTTAAATTGGATTTTATTTCATAACCATATCTCAATTAGTTTTTGAGATACGCAAAGATTAATTACCCTAATATTTATGTTTAAAATTACGTAGTGTTGTGTTCAAAAAATCATAACTCCGAAATTAGATAATTCAAAGAAATGATCTTTAAACTAGTAAATACTGAATAAATTTGCTTTAAATTGCTTTTTATTTCATAACTATATCTCAATTAGTTTTTGAGATACGCAAAGATTAATTACCCTAACATTTATGTTTAAGATTATGCAAGGTTGTGTTCAAAAAATCATTACTCCGAAATTTGAAGATTTAAAGAAATGATCTTCAAACTATTAAATACTGAATGAATTTGCTTCAAATTGCTTTTTATTTCATAACCATAGCTCAATTAGTTTTTGAGATACGCAAAGATTTATTACCCTAACATTTATGTTTAAGATTATGCAAGGTTGCGTTCAAAAAATCATATCTCCGAAATTTGCAAATTCAAAGAAATGATCTTCAAACTGTTAAATACTGAATAAATTTGCATCAAGTTGCTTTTTATTTTATAACGATATCTCAATTCGTTTTTGAGATACACAAAGATTAATTATCTTGTCATTTATGTTTAAGATTATGCAAGGTTGCGTTCAAAAAATCATATTTCCTAAATTTGAATATTTCAAGAAATGATCTTCAAACTATTAAATACTGAATAAATTTGCTTCAAATTGCTTTTTATTTCATAACGATATCTCAATTCGTTTTTGAGATACGCAAAGATTTATTACCCTAACATTTATGTTTAAAATTATGTAGTGTTGTGTTCAAAAAATCATAACTCCGAAATTAGAACAATGAAAGAAATGAACTTTAAACTAGTAAATACTGAATAAATTTGCTTCAAATTGTTTTTTATTTCATAACGATATCTCAATTAGTTTTTAAGATACGCAAAGATTAATTACCCTAACATTTACGTTTAAGATTATGCAAGGTTGCGTTCAAAAAATCATAACTCCGAAATTTGAAGATTTAAAGAAATGATCTTCAAACTATTACATACTGAATGAATTTGCTTCAAATTGCTTTTTATTTCATAACCATAGCTCAATTAGTTTTTGAGATACGCAAAGATTTATTACCCTAACATTTATGTTTAATATTATGCAAGGTTGCGTTCAAAAAATCATATCTCCGAAATTTGCAAATTCAAAGAAATGATCTTCAAACTGTTAAATACTGAATAAATTTGCATCAAGTTGCTTTTTATTTTATAACGATATCTCAATTCGTTTTTGAGATACACAAAGATTAATTATCTTGTCATTTATGTTTAAGATTATGCAAGGTTGCGTTCAAAAAATCATATTTCCTAAATTTGAATATTTCAAGAAATGATCTTCAAACTATTAAATACTAAATAAATTTGCTTCGAATTGCTTTTTATTTCATAACGATATCTCAATTCGTTTTTGAGATACGCAAAGATTAATTATCTTGTCATTTATGTTTAAGATTATGCAAGGTTGCGTTCAAAAAATCATAACT